GGAACCGACACCCCTCTCCCAACATCCCTTGAAGATCAAGATGTCGTCCTTGTACCCCTTGTCCGAGTCAGGAAGGTGGGTTACAAGGTACATGGAGGGGTCCCTGGCTTTGAGGTAGAAATGTTGGTGGGGCATGACTCTTAGGAGAGAGTAACAGAAAAGGAGGTCGTTGAGCCCAATATTCACCCCGAGGCGCCTATTGAGCTCAAGGACCCCCATAATTATCCGAAAGACGTTGAGGCAGCATTGCCCGGGGAAGAGACGGAAGCGAGACAGGAACTGAAGAAGCAGGGGGGGTAAAGGAAACCTAATGCCACCCTCTATGATGGCCTTGGTATAGAAAGGCATGGCGTCCGTGGCCCCGAAGGTAGGAGAGTACAACAAAGGGTTAAAATCCACTACGTCCACGCTCGGAGGGATGCCATACTTCGCCCTAAACCTATTGATCTGTGCCTCGCCCGTCACCTTGTATTTCCCTGATCCCGAGGGACCAGCCGATGGATTCTCGGGAACAGGGCGACGACGAGGCATCTCTAAAAAGAAAGGGGAGGAAAAGGTCCTCTGTTGAAAACCCGAGGAAGTTCCCCGAGGGTTTAAATCGAGACGTACCGACCGGATGACCACTGTTCAGTCGGAAAACAAGAAGGCTAGGGGAACGATAAAGAAGAAGGTTGCGAAACTCACCAGATGTCGAAAACGGAGTTTTTCAGGGAAGACTTTGAAAATAACTCGCACCGGAAGGATCAGGAGTCAACAATGGGTTTTACTGGCTGAGGTTTTAAGAGAAAATGCTGTCGACAATGGCTGAGGAAAACAAAAAACTCCGGCGAGCAGATCGGAAAAGGCGTGTTCTGGGTCAGAGATCGGAATGGCAAAATGATACAAACCGGAGAAGAACCCCCTTTATATAGGGGGGGAAACTATCATCATTGGGCGGGAGAACCAAAAACAGCGCATTTAATGCGCACGACATCCCAAGACGGGAAAGCTGCTCGAGGCCATAATGAAGGACGGATGGCAGTTGGAAAACCCTTCGTCTCCTTACAACGCGTGTCCTCGGTGTCAGAAGATCGAAGGCTGGGGGGCAGTTGATGGGACTCTTCTGAGAAGCCCTAAGATGATGACACGTGCCCTCGGGATATTTTGGAACAGTGTTGCCCGGATGTAAGCACCATCGGCGAAGAGCGCCCTTTACCCCCGAGGTACCTCTCATATAGGATCACATATTCGGTACAGTATACAAATACATGTGTCCTCGGTCGCCATGTACCTCGGGAACACACCAACCTTGGTCCCCCCGAGGTCAGTCTTTCCTCGGCACCGAGGGTCACTCCATCCTGGACGCTTCCTCTACTCCCGGATGAAGCTACTGACAAAACTGGACATCAGCCTATGCCAGTATGGACTAGTCATCATGATCTCTTCTTACACAAGAAATGTCAGAACATGCTGGGATACAGAAGTCGTAGCCAATAAGGGACGGACGCGTGGCATATGATGTCACATCAAAAACAGGCAAACCGCACGCTATTGCTGACATGCGCTTTGGGAAGCAAACAATTAATTGCACCCTTCTGTTGACGAGACCGCATTCAATGCGGTAAGGTTCGGATATGAAAGGCAATAAATGCTCTTTTTACAGAGCATTTATTGCATCCTTCCCGAAAGGAGCATATTGTACCGTCGGCGTCCCGACGACTCAACATTGATTGCTCGGGATCCCGAGCAGTCAATTAGAGAAGACATTCCTCATCAAATCAAGACACACGCTGCCAGTGCCTGATGATCACCTACTGACCACACTGACAGCAATCATGAGTTTCTAAGGTATAAATACCCCTCTCAAAAAGGCAAACGGGATGCAATCAAAAACTCTCTTCTACAGAATATCCTTCTCAGTGTTTTCTCCTTCCTCTCTCTCATTCAAAGACTGACTAGACCGTCGGAGGGGATACGCCGGAAAACACTCCGGCGCCCTTCTAACTTGTTCTCTTTGTCCCAGGAAATACCTTTCGCACATACAGGATCGTTCCTCCTTTCCCAGGATCGTAAGCTGTTTCGAGCAGCGTGCTTGGCCACTCAATCGGCTCACCCAAAGTTCACCAGGGGAGAGATCTGTTCCCAATATTTTATACATCGTGCAGGATCGAGCCCGCACATCTTCTGTACCGTTGAGTCAGGAGTTCGTTTGTCTTTGCCACTAAGAATATGATATATCTGTATGACAACTTTAACATGAGAAGTAGCCTATTCTTAGATACTCATGGTTCTGGTGGAATCTTGTTGGTTTTCTAAGGTTGGATCCATTCAATTGATGCTGGGATTTTTGGAGGACCAAAGATGCTTCTAATCAGACTGAATTGAATCCTCCAACAAAAATTGTTTTTCTGGGTTTTTTTATTTAACTTTCTTGTGAGATACAGAATATTTTAGCAGGTGAAGTTTCTGCTAGGATGGTGTTCTCCTCTTCGTTTTTGTATGGTAATCAACTTTATTCGGTGTACAAGAAGAATGGCCTATTCTCTCCGATACTCATTGTTCAGCTGGCATCTTTCTGGTTTTTTTAGGTCGGATCCATACCATTAACTCTGGGATTTTTGGAGGACTGGAGATGCTTCTAATCATGAATAGACTTATTGTTTTTTCACTTTCTTGTCTCCCTATCTTCAGAATGAACTGAATCCTCCAACAAAAAATTATTTGTCTAGGTTTTTTTTTCAAACTTTATTGAGAGATACAAATAGTCTAGCAAGGGAAGTCCTTGCTGGTATGGTGTTCTCTTCATTGTTTTTTTTGGTAATTCACTTTATTTAGTGTGTGAGAAGTGGCTATTCTCTCAAATACTCATGATTCAGGTGGTATCTTGTTGGTTTTCATAGGTTGGTGTTGTGCAGTGGAGGATGTGATTTTTGGAGGATCGAAGATGCTTTTCACTTTCTTCTTGTCTCCCTTTCTTGAGAATGAACTGAATCCGGCAACAAAAACTTATTTTCCTTGGTTTTTTTTGTTTTAAGTTTCTTGCTAGATACTAATTCTCCAGCAAGTGAAGTTCCTGCTGGTATGGTGTTCTCTTCTTCATTGTTTTTTTTGGTGATTTGATTACATTCTTGGTCTAAGGTTTGCTTGTTTCGGTCATTTTCATTGATTACCAGCATTGAGCTTTGTGTATGGCATTTTTGGGAACCCCGCTTGGTTGCTTTTGGTGTTCATGTTAGTTTGGATTGGTTGCCTTACTGTACAGACGAGCTTTCACAGTTGCTTCTAGCAAATTCAGGTTATTTTGGCACATTGATCTTTTTCATGAATTCGGCTGCAAGGAGAGTCAGTCTGTTATACAGTGTTGAGACTTGTGATCCTGCTATAGATTGTTAAATGTTGTGATGCTGCTTCTGGAAATTAGACATGCTACACTGTTATAATCCTCCTTGACTGCTGCTGGTTTTTTCACCTTCTCGCGAGATACTAAAACGTTAGAATTGAAGTTCTTGAGGTATGGTGTGCTCTTCGACATTGTTATTTTCGTGATTTGATAACATCCCTGGTTTGAGGCATCTTTATTCTTACTATTAAATCTAGTTGGTGTTCCCCGTCCTAGAAGAGGACTTGAAAGTTTTTTGCTGCGAGCTTTTTGGTATTTTGTTCCTTTTTCTAGTACAGCTTAGTTTATGGCAATGAATTTATATGGATATTTATTTTTGTTGTTCTACAGGGATCCCCTTGCTGCCGTCCCTACCTATTTATACCAGAAAAGCAAAGAATAGGCACGGGGAGCCAATTTAGGTGTTTATTCCCCTTGCGACTTCCTGTCGTGCTCCAAATACCTTGTTCTCATCATTCTTTTTCCGTTGTATAGTGTGGTGTGGCTGTTCTCTATTTTGGTTGTTTGCAGCTTGAGGTTCTACAGTTAGGTTGAGTTATTGATAAATGTGTTAGGGAATCTTCATATTATTGGGTTTATTGTTCACTTTTGCAATTATGAATATGATTTTTGAGGATTTATTTCTGCATTCATTCTATTTAATGTACCAGAAGCATCATATTTCTATATTGTAGGTGTGGTTCTGGTGTGATTTTGTTGCAGCAGAATAGGTCAGGTGTTCCCTTTTAGTTCTTGGTACTTGGAGTGGAAGAATTCAAAATCTTCCTTTTTTGGTTGGGCATTCTGTTCAGCATTGTTACAGGAGTGTGTCTGTTCCCATTCTTATTGTAGGAATGTAGGGGGAAGGCTATGCTTTTGGAGTAGCTGCTGCAGATTCAACTGGTGCACACGTCTGCTTTTCTGGCCTTTGCCTTTCTCTTTTACCAGACCCTGTCTTTTCCTATTTATTGGTCTCTTGGCTATCTTTCGCTGGTGCTTAATTTTTGTGTTGTGTGTTGGACTATAAGTGATCTAGTTCGTGCGAGGCAGAACAAATGCAAGGGAATGTTGGTGCACATGTGGTAGGTCCAGCTATGTACTTGGGCTTTGTCTTGGGAATGGTACTCTCTTAGTTTTGTGTTTTCTTAGATTATATTTTTGACTTTCTTGTTTTTGTCGGTTTTTATTTCCTCTCCCTCTGTCCACAACATAAAGAAGACTGAAAGAAATAAAGTTTCACCCTTACTGACATGGTTTTTTCTATTTCCTTCTTTTCTTTACCATGGTGGTGTTGTGGCTGTTCTCTGTTCTGATTTTCTGCAGAGCACTGCAATTGGATTGAGCTAATCCTTTGGATCTTGGAGTCCGCGATTGCTTAAACCATTTTTGGTATTGATAAATGGCTATTCAACCTATTGTACATATTTTTTATACCTATGGATCAGGTGTTATCATTTAACCTATTGCACATATTTTTTATACCTGCGGTTCAGGTGTTATCGTATTGTGGTGAAATCGGGCAGGTGGTTTCCATTTAGGCATGGTTACTTTTGGTACTTAGATCGGAAATATCAAAATCTTTCTGTTTCTGTCATGGGGATTTTGTTCAGCTTCGTAGCTTCAATTCTACTGTGGAGATTAAATGAACTGGTGTGGGTTCTGTGTTGCCTTTGCTATTGTGGGAATGTTGGGGAAGAAAATGCTTTTGGAGCGGTTGCTACAGATTGAACCTGCATTTTCCATGCTAATCTGTTAGCTATTGCTTCCCAATCCTTGATTTTTCCGTGGAGGTTATTGCAAGGCTGAAAACATGTAATACATTGCATGTTTTTTCTTTGGGTCAGTGGATCCCTCTTCTGACTCCCCATTGTTCTCTGCAAGATACCCATTGTCCTTCGTCGGGATTTGTTACTTGAAGTCTATTGTAAAGATTGTATGGACTGTTGTTTTGTCTACCATTTTCTTTACAGCAAGGTATGCTTTTGGAGTAGCTGATGTAGATTCAACCCTCATGTGTAACCACTTTTCCTGTCTTTCTCTGTTTTGCTAACCAGACTTTTCTTGTCTGTCAATTTTGGTAGCTGATCCTGATCATGATTTGGGCCTGGTGAATTGTTTTCTAGGGGATGCCGTTATTGTAATTGCAAAGCAGGACAAATGCAAGACAATGTTGTTGCACCCGTGCCAGATACGGTTACGTATTTAAGATCTGTCAACATGTCTTGTTTTTCCTTTTTTAAAAATTGCGCTATACTATCTTGTTGGTTGTCTTAGGTCCTTTGGTTTCCAACCTCCATCACCTCCCACCAAAGTATCAATTGCACAACTTATGAGCAAAAGTGGTTCCTTTTTTGTAACGATATATTTCCTACATCTTACTTCCTTTTTCTATGGCATGATGCTGGTATTGCTCCTCTATTTTTGGTTGTTTGCAGCGCATTACAATTTAATGCTGTAATGGACAGAGAACTGTTTGGATTGTGTTCTCATGATTGGTTTGCAGCACCGCTTTTGCTATTATCGGTTTTTTTAGGAATTTATTTCAAAATTAATTTATGTAGTGTACCTATGGTGTTATGACATTTAGTGATTTAGGTGCTGTTGTTTTTCATAGGAATGTATCAGGTGTTCGTGGCATCAGTGATTGGTTTGATTTCGCTGTTATGTATATGATTTTTTAGGAGTAGTTCTCTATTGATGTTTGTGTACCAAAAGTGTCATAATATTTATCATACCCTTGATTCAGGTGTGATCTCATGTTACACCAATGTGTGCGATGTTGCATCTGTTCCATTTCCTGTTGTAAGGAAGTTGGGGGAAGGCTATGTTTGTGGTGCAGCTGCTATAGATTGCATCTACTATGTTCTAATGTTTTGCTGTCCTTCCTTTTTCAGTTGCTGTTCCCATCTCTTATTTCGGCATGGTGTGCTGTTTTTAGTGGAAATGGTTATAGTACGGTTGAATGAATGCAAGACTACACCGGGGCACCCACAGTTGGTTCATTTATATACTTGGGCTGTGTCATGGGAATGAAGATGCTTTTTAATAATGAGTAGCCTCATTGTTTTTTCACCTTCTTGTCTTCCTTTCTTCAGACTGAAGGTGCAATGGTTCTTGCTTCTGTCTTTTTAGATCCCATGTTGTTTTCTTATGTCTGTGCTGTTGTCCAGTTTAGTGGACTTTTCCTCTTCCAAAATCTGCTACCACCACAAATAAAAAGATATGAAGTGGTTTGCCATTTGTGTCAAAGTCTTTTATTTTTTTTTCTTTTAGTTCTCTTTCTTTTCTGTGCTGTTGTCCAGTTTAGTGGACTTTTCCTCTTCCAAATTCTGCTACCACCACAAATAAAAAGATATGAAGTGGTTTGCCATTTGTGTCAAAGTCTTTTCTTTTTTTTCTTTTAGTTCTCTTTCTTTTTGGGTGATTTCAATTTTGAATCGTGGCTGGTTTTATGGTAGGAATTAAGCATTGGATGATGAATGTTGTAAATTAGGGTACGATAAGGTAACTTACATGATATTATGCGTCACAGAATCACTTGCTAGGTTGATTGATCTTTGAATTTTATTTATTTAGACTCAACTTATTTTCTTCTTAACGTATTGGATTTTCTGTTCAATCTTGTGTTACGCTGCTATTCAAGGCAGATGATCGGGATTTTTTGGAGTTTTTGTTGTCTAATTTTTGGTTTATGGTTCATGATTCCAGGTGATCAATTTTGGCGTCTTTATTCTTGGTAATTCTATGGTGTTTATCTAGTTCATGTGTATTATTTGATTTTAGATAAATGATAGGGGGAATCCACTTACAGTGATTCATAAACAATCAATGGGATTTTGTTGGTCTTTCCTTATATATGGTCTGTTGCTTTCTTCTGTCTTTTTTTTTTTCCTGTTGTCCTTCTTCTTGTCGTGAGCAGTCCAAATCCCCGAGTATAAGGTGTGCAAATATTGTGGTTTGGTTATGCTGAGACTGTGTCCATCCATAGTAAGAGATTTCTCTGGTTTGGTATATGGTAAGAGATTTCTCTGGTGTGGTTTTTTTTTTCCCTTGTTGTTTGGTAGTAGTTCTCGTTGTGTATCATGAATAACACCTTATGTTTGTTCCTTGCAGAATTTATAGTACTTAAGTCTGTTCTTTGCAGAATTGGTGGACCATGGCTAGGGGAAAGGAAAGACAAAGGCAAATACATGGATGGTAATCTTTAACCGATTCTGCTGCGGATGCTTTATTTATTCTCCTCCTATTGGTTGTTTTTTTCTATTATAATTAGTATGATTATAATTTTTTTTCCAGTTAGTTCAGTTGTAATACTGGTGTTCTCCTTGGTATTAACTTCTGTGTTATCTGCAGTCCAATACAAGGACAGATGTTTGAAGGGTGTGCAAATTCTCCAGTTTGGTTCAGTCTGAGGCTGTGTCCATTTCCTAGGGAAAAATCTCTGGTTTGGTTTGGTGGTTAGGTAGTAGTACTTGTTGTGCGTCGCACCTTATATGTGTGTTGCTTGCAGAATTGATGGACCATGTTTTGTTAATACCAAAGATAAAACAGCAAACACGTATAAAGCAATTCCTTCACAGGATCTGCTGCAGCCTGCAGGACCTTATTTCTTCTCATTTTCTTCATTACTATTATATATTTGGCGAACTTATTTTCTAAATAATTCACCTCATATTAGAAGTGAGTTGGAGCTGGCTGAGAGTTCTGGTGTTCCCTTTTAGTAGTTGTTACTCTTGTACTTTCCCTTTTTGGTTGTGTATGCTGTTCAGCATTGTTGCAAGTGTGTGTCTGGTCCCATTCTTATTTTTGGACTGTTGGGGGAAGGCTATTTCCTTTGGAGGAGCTGGTGCAGATTCAACTGGTAGGTCTATTTTTCTGGCCTTTCTCTTACCAAACCCTGGCTTTTTCCTATATATTGGTCGATTGACTATCTTTTGCCAGTTCTTAATTTTTGTGTTGTGTGTTGAACTATAAGTGATCTAGTAGTTGTCAGGTTGAACAAATGCAAGGGAATGTTGGTGCACATGCTGTTTCAGCTATGTACTTGAGCTTTGTCTTGGGAATGATGCTTTCTTGGTTTTGTTTTTCTATTAGGGTATATTTTTCGATTTCTTGTGTTGTTGGTTTTTATTTCCTCTCCCTTTGTTCACAACTTAAAGAAGACAGAAGGAAATAGAGTTTCACCCTTTATGACAAGGTTTTTTCTATTTTCTTCTTTTCTTTCCCATGGTGATGTTGTGGCTGTTCTCCATTCCAATTTTCTGCAAAGCACTGCAATTGGATTGAGCTAATCCATTGGATCTTGGAGTCAGCGATTGCTGAAGCCATTTTTGGTATTATTAATGACTATTTAGCCTATTACACATTTTTTTATATCTGTGGTTCAGGTGTTTCCATTTATGCATGGCTGCTTCTGGTACTTGAAAATAGCAAAATCTTTCTGTTTCTGTCGCAGGGATTTTGTTTAGCTTTGTAGCTTGAATTCTACACTAGAGATTATATACAGGTGTGTGTGTGCCATTGCCTTTGCTATTGTGGGAATGTTGGGGAAGAGAATGCTTTGGAGCGGTTGCTGTGGATTGAACCTGCATTTTCCTGTACACTAATTTGTTAGCCTGTCGCTTCCCTGTTCTTGATTTTTATGTGGAGGTTACTGTATGGCTGCATACATGTAATACAATTCGTGTTTTTTCTTTAGAACAGTGGATCCCCCCTTTCAACTCCCCAATATCATCTTGCGAGATACCCTTCCACAGCATATAAACAGTAAAAAAAGGAGGTTTGCCTTTTCTGGCTAGTTTTTTTTTTTTTGTGTTTGCTATATTTGTTTCGTTTTCTCATTGTTTTGTTGTGGCTACTTTCTTTTTGTTGTTTGTAGGGCATTACAACTGAATAACGTTATGGGAAGATGTTTTATGATTGGTTTGCTTTTGCTACTATAAATAATTTTTTTGATGCGTTTTATCATGTTTGTTATTTGGTGTGCCAGAAGTGTCAGATGTTCTTCTTATTCCTATGATTCATGTGTGATCCATTGGAGAGGAATTCTGTCAGGTCTCTCTATTTATGTCTAATTTTGGTAAAATTGGAAATATGTATCTTTGCTTTTGGTTCATGGGGATTGTCTTGTTGCTTGAAGTCTACTGTGAAGATTGTGTGAACTGTTGTGTGTCTACCCCTTTTCTGTATGGCTATTTTTTTTTGGAGTAGCTGATTTAGATTCAACTCTCAAGTATGACTACTTTTCTTGTCTGTCAATTTTTTGGCTGACCATGTTTTTGATTTTTGTGTGGTGAAATGTTTTCTAAGGGATGTCATTGTTGTAATTGCAAAGCAGGACAAATGCAAGACAATATTGGTGCACTCGTGCCAGAATACAGTTATGTACCTCATATCTGTCAGCCTGTCTTTCTTCATTTTTTTTTTTTTATAATTGTGCTAGAGTATCTTGTTGGTTGTCTTGGGTCCTTTGGTTTCCAACCTCCATCATCTCCCACTAAAGTATTTCTTCCACAACTTATGGCGAAAGTGGTTCCCTTTTTGTGACAATATTTTTTCTTATTTCTTATTTCCTTTTTCTATGGCATGATGCTGGTATCGCTCTTCTCTATTTTTTGTTGTTTGCAGCTAGGAGAGAGAACTGTTTGGATTGTGTTCTCATGATTGGCTTACTCGTTCGCTTTTTGCAATTATTAGTTTTTTGGGAATTTATTTCAAAATTGATTTATCTAGTGTACCTATGGTATTATGACATTTAGTGATTTACATCCTGCCCATTTTCATAGGAATGTATCAGGTGATGTGTTTGATTTTGCTGTTATTTATATGATTTTTTTGGAGTATTTCTCTATTTATGTTCATGTACCAAAAGTGTCATAATATTTCTCATACCCTTGATTCAAAGCATTTCACTGGAATATGTCACATGTTTCCATTTATATATGGTTACTTACTGTGTTGTGAATCAAAACGTT